GATGTTCACTGTTGCAACGGACGCTACTGATTGTGGTATCGGCGCAGTTATAAAGTAGAGGAAGGGAGTTATCTAATACGCCAGTGGCGTCCTTACCAACACTGAACAGAAGTACTCTACCAGTGAGAACGGAACTTTGGCGATCGTCTGGGCCCTGACTAAGTAGAGGCCATATCTGCTTGGAGAAAATTCTCATGTCAAAACCGATCAGATCCCCCTTGAGTGGATCAGGATCACCAGAGATCCTCGTAGGAATCTCGCGCCCTAAGCACTCCAGTTGTAAGAGTACGACTTCACAATCCAGCACGTCTAGGGAGGAGAGTCACTTGGCTGATTGGCTGACAAGACCAGAGGCTTAAAATGAGAGGGAAGCCTATCGTCGAATGCCATTAGATGGCAATGCAGGGTACGACTTCGGCAGTGGGCCTACTGCCCCGGGATGAGAAATAAGATGATGGATTATGTGGTGTGTTGTAAGCGGTGCCAACTGAGGAAACGGGACACGTCAGGGACATTTCATCCCATGGAACCTAGTCTTGTCTCAGAATTCGGCGAGTTGTGGTCCGTTGACTCCATGGGCTTTTTTGCGGTGACAACTAGCAGGAATCAACATGTCGTGATAATGACAGTACATCTGTCTTGTTGGATAGAGGCGGCAGCTGTGCCGAATCAACGGGTGACGACGATCAGCGGGATGGTAATGCATCACATCGCGGCCAACCATGGAGTGCTAAAATGATCCTTACGGATCAAGGGCCTTGCTTCGAGAGAGAGGAGTCTTACAGAAGCTGGGTATCAAACGGCTAAGAATGGCACCATACCGCCTGCAAACCAGTGGCATAACCGAACGTAATAACCGAACGATCAAGGAGTGGTTGGCGCATAAGGGGCCTGGGAAGTGAACTTGCCAATGGCGTCGCTAGTTTATCATGCCTCCATACAGTCAACCACAGACAAGTTCTCATTTATATTGATGTACGGCTGACATCCGGGCCTCCCGGTTGATGAGTTGGGTTGTGGAGGGCAAGATGCTTGCCTCCAAGGGAGCTAGGAGAAGAAAGAATTGTTGCTCGAGAAAACTTGACCGCCATTCATGAGAGGACCAGGCAGAAAACGGCGCGTATAAAGGCTCGAACATTCCTCATGAGTGTGAAGGTCTAGCGAAAGGATCATCAGAATCCCGGAAGGAGTGACCACGGGTCGTTGAAGCTAGGCAGTCGAGGGCAAGGTCCGTTCGTCGTTACCGACCGCCGTCTATACAATTCAAGGCGGTCGGGAATAAGGAAGAGTAAATGGGACGCAGCTTTATAAGTGGCACGACACACCCAAACAGCTGCTGAGCAGACGCGCTGCTGAAGCGAATCTGACGGAGGTAAGTGAAAATCGATGGCATGCGAACGACCATTAAATCGGGAGGTGTGTAGCGGTGGATAATACTGATGTGGCATGCGAGCAGTGTTTTCTCGTAAATTCGCTTCGCGTCTCTTGAAAAGAGAGATCTGTTGCGGAATTTCTAGTCACTTTGTACCATTCGTTTGGGTTTGAGCTACAGTCAATGAACATCCAGGAAAGTTCAGGAAGACGCGTTCAAGGGGAGGTGGATGTTCA